TCAGGTCAAGATCAACATAGCCATCCGCAAAAACATATAGGTTTCGGTCGTATTAGCAGGTTTTAGCAGTTTGAACGTTGGAAGTAAATAGTATTGACAGCATGCATGGTAGTGGTTTGGCTCTTTTGTGGATGATACTTTTGTAGTAGCTGAAGCTTCATTTGTAAATTCCTGACTTTCATTGAGAGAGAAAGCCCTTGGGATTCATTTTGTATATGATGGCCATTGATGTCTCTGTACTTTGGCACTGGTTTCTGCAGTAGTAGTACTTAAAGATGTGTTTCTTTGTTTTCTCAGTTGCTGTAAGTTGTAACCACGACTAAGAGCTACAGACCTCTTCATTTTTTTATTTTTTTATTTTTGGCAAAAGACAACTTATTGGGGCCCAGGGTTTTACATTTTTTGATTTCTCCTTATGTTGGGTATATATATATATATAATGTACTCCCACATAATGTTTCTTTAATTTTTTCATCCTCGTAATTATTATATTATATATTTGAATCATAATTTCTTTTACATTTTATTGTTGTGTTCAAGTATATTATGTATTATTGTCAGTTTTTGGGTGAATATCTGTTGTCACGGACCTATGTTTTGTAAATTAGATCGGAGTGTAGACATGTAGAATTATAAGCTCCGTGAGTTTAGATGACTCGCAATTCCTTAAGAATTAGTGCAGGACTCGGAAGTTATAGAAGATGATGATTCATTGATTGGGAATTCTTTGCTTTCTCCGGAAAATCTGGATTCTTGAGTGCCGTATAAATCTTCAAAACGCATCAGCTTTGGTTGAAATTAATGTGTAAAAATTGGTTCAGATTCCCTTATTATGTAAACCCTGATTCAGAGAATAAGTTTAGATTTAATAGTTGTTGTAGTAGTATAATTTATTATACAATGACTTTCTTGAATGTATGTTGTAAAAGGATTTGAAGGATTTAAGATGTTGACTTCTCTTTACCTTATATTTTCTTTTCGGGAAAAACTTATTTATTACAAATACCTATATATATATATATATATAAATAAATAACATGGCCACGCCCACGCGTAGCATGGGAAGAGAAATCCTTGGTCTATAAATAAATGTCCGACCTCCTCCTAGACGATATCCTTTCGCACTACCAACTCTTTCGTTATTTCACAAAAATTGATTTAAGGATGGCTCCTCCGCCGCCAACGGGTGAAAATACCACCGCCGGCGCCGATTGGAGGAGTGATGTGAAACATGTAGGGCGAACGATGATTAAGGTCTATATATTGGAGAAGCTCAAGAACGTTTTTTGGGTCGGTTCCATGGGTTGCCCCCGGCTTCTGGGTTGTCGGCGTGGGCGGGTGATGTAGCGAGGTTCGAGGAGAGTGTATACACGTCAGCAACCAGCCAATCGGAATATCTGACCACAATAACAAAGCGGTTGCAGAGTATCATAGTTCAAAATCCCCCCATTCCCCGCGTCGTGGTTCCGGACCTCCATCCGATGTCGATCCAGATCACGGTAGGATCCCAGTTCTTTGCTCTTGTCGATATTAATATACTTATGTAGTTACCCAATCACGCTCCTATTGTTTTTCTTTCTTTTTATCTTTTATTAGGGTCCACGAATTAATTAAGAATTGGGTTGGTTAGTTAGTACGTCTTTTGCCCTGCGATGCTCTATGAAATCATTGAATTTCTTCTGAGGACTGGGTTTTTTTGGGCACAAGGTTTGGGTTTGATTGCACTTTGATTATTGAGAGCCTAATGCTTTTTCTTGATAAAGGTGTCTCCTTTTTGTGATGAAAAGTCGATCCAAGAAGATGGTATTGTTTAGGCCGAGTTGGTTTTTTGGGTTCTTTTAGCTACAATTTGGTGTTTCAGTTCTTCGTTTACCTTCACTTTTCCATGTAACCATAGCAACATGAATGTTGATCTAATTAGTGAGATGCCTGAGAATAACTCCCTTTTTGGCTAGTTGGATTGTTGTGCTTAGTGTTTGTTTACATATTATACATATTTTTTGTCTTGAGATAATACACTAGAAGCAGCATATGGTTCTATCATTTGAATGTGGTATATTATTATTATTATTATGCACAAAATTTCTCTATACACTATTGATCTGGTGATTGTGTCTTTTTAGTAGTAGATCCTGATCCTATTCTGTTTAATTTTGTCCTTCAGTTGATCCATCACTAGTGGGGATGGCTGATCCTCCTTCTGCTGCTGCTGCTGCTGCCACTGCCACGGATTGGAGGGCTGAGATGCCACCCGAATGTCGAGAAATGATTAAGCGCAATGTGTTTGAAAGACTTAAGAAGCTTTCTTTGGAGCATTACCGTTGCATACCTAATGAATTTGGCTTGTCAGTGTGGAAAGGAGATGTTGCCAGGTTCGAGGGAAGCGTATACAATGCTGCAACAAGCCAGTTGGAATATTTGAGGATGATCACCCGGCGTGTTCTGACTTTGGAAGCTGCACATCCCCCCTCCCCCGTCGTGCAACTGGATCCTTTTATGCCAATCGACCAAAAAATTTATGATAGACTACAAGTTTTATTAGCTGAGCCATGAAATTAATGATTTACTCTTTCATGTTCTTATTATAAATCATTTTGATTTGTCTTAGTGAACATAAAACTTTAAAACTATTTTATAATAATAATTAGGAAAATATAATAAATATAAAAATATAATTTTAAAGTTTTATTTTTAATTAAAACTAAATGAAATTTAGAATAAATCAAAATATCTTATAATAAGAACAGGAAGGGGAATGTAGTATGAAAGCAAAACAGTAATCGAGAAACCAGTGTTCTGACGTTTACAGAGGATATTAGAGAAGGTGCATTGAGATACAATTTGTTAATTACAGAAAGACTTATTTCAATGACACCTTAAAAAACAAAGACGCTTATTCTTCAAACATTTTAACTCTTGCACTGCACTTGAAGGGGATTCTCCTCGAGTAAGAAAACAAGTTAGCCAAAGTCACAAATAGAATCTTACCCAGATCACGATTCTATTTGCGACATTCAGTAGCCATGCATCTTACTACCTAATCATGATGATTTTTTTTCTTCTTGTTCTGGGTTGGTACATCTCCGGTGGTTACACACCATTTCAATGCCACATCATCATTTTATCTGACACAAATTATTTATATTTTTTTCAAATAATTAAAGTTTTCAATGCCAATTAAAGTGTGATAAAAAAAAAATATTACTCCTTCTGTCCCAAAATTAATGTCCAATTTGAGATTTCACTTTTAGTACAATTTAAACTAAAAATAATTATGAGACGAGGAGAGTAATAAAAGACCAAAAAGAAATGACCGGAATATGTGAGACAACCTCTCTCTCTCTTTCTTCTTATTAATGCTCTTTAGCCCACAAATGTCAGAATGCACTGTTCGAATCTGCTTATACGCACAAAATTTTTTAAACTCAGCCCAATGATGTACCTATATAATAATCTAACATTACACTTGCTTTAAACCATTGCTGTGGACGACGACTGACATATTATTGAATGGTGAACGAGGACTGACATATTATTGACTGCATTAGATCCAAATGGTATATGTATTTCAAAATCCTCCAAAATTTGATTTCATTTGACTGTGGATAAGATTATCATCCTCTGCAGAATCATGTAACTGTCTCTATATTGATTAAAGTTAATTTCTTGGGGTGACTTTTCACTTATATAGTGCTTGGTAAACTGTCAGCCAAGAAAACGATGTCCTTAATTTAGTAGGTCATTCTGCCGGTATGTTTGAACAATTTCTTTTAACTAACTAATAAAAAATTTGATAATTATCTTCCAAAGTAAAGGAAGAGTAATACCCGTGATACTATAGTTGAAGTCATATGCTGCTAAAATGGCTTATAGAATGATGTGAATAATATGAAAAGACGAAACTCATAATTTAGTTTCCATCTTGTGCTTGCTTGATTAAGCAGAATTCATTACCTGATCTCCCACATTCCTACCCTGGTCCCCGGGATTGATTCTCAGAAAGTCCAAAACTTGGCACTTACAAAGAATGCATCCCATCCCATCCCAACCCGCAGTAGATCACGAAGAATGCACTCACCAAATTTGGCACTTGGGATGTTTTTAACTATGTGGCGCAGAAACTGCTGTAATCTTAAACTTAAGTGCTTGGAGCATCAAGTCGGCTCGATTTTTACCTTTACATAAAAGAAGAAAATCTCACATTTGATTAATCATCGTATGATCTTGAAATATGGAACTGATCATGTGATTTGAGATTGACAATTTATCTTTCCCCTTTTTTGGATCGGCATTTTAGTTAGTGAATTTACTATCTAGATCGCAAACAATTAAAACGTACTTCCTGCTAGTTGATTGTTCCAATTCGAAAGTACATAAGCAGTAAATGCTCCCTCCGTCCTAAAATCATTGTCAAGTTTGAGTTTTTATTTTTGTGATTTATAATATGAATAATTATATGTAATTATTATGTATACTTTTCGTCTCACTTAGCTTGTCTATTGTCAACTAGCACAAAAAACAAGATTATACTATAGCTAGTTCGACATTCTCACTGGTCACTGATTTTTATTTTATTTTTTTAAAGATGACATCATTAACCATCAATCAATACCAAGAGCTGGTCACTGATTATAAAAAAGAAAATGATAACATTAACCATCAATCATCACCAAGAGCCAACGATGCAAATCGATTTTTTTAAAGATTGGCTAAAAACCCCATCCCCAGATGTGATTAGCCTAAGTTCGATGCAAACCAATTTGGTCCTAATTAACTAACCACCATAATTTATGTAACATTTTTTAATTGGCTAAATCTAGTACAACAAAACATGATATTCCATCTGTCCTTAAATTATTATCGGGTTTAGATTTTTATTTTTAGTTAAAATTGTATTAAAAGTAAAATTTCAAACTGGATAATAATTTTGGGACGGAGTACCATTTGTATTATTCATGTTCCTCTCTTGGGTTGACTTTGATCAACAGTGAGTAGGTAAAGTTAATTACTACTTCATTACAAATAGCCAAGCGGGTCGCTTCGTTTTCTCTAATCAATTTGATTAACAGAGAAACAGAGAGATGAAGAGATCATCATCATCATCATCATCCTTATACCATTGGGTGATGGTGATGGTGGTGGCATACACTTTGATTAATCTAGTATCAGGAAATGATGATGAAATGATAATCGTTAAGTACGATGATCCGACACAAGTACTACTCCAGCAGCCTTACCGGACAGCTTTCCATTTCCAGCCTCCTCAAAACTGGATGAACGGTAATTCATTCATGATATCTTCTGATTAATTCTCTCTAATTACTACTAATTTAAAGAAAATTATGTGTACTCCTTTAGTGCTCTTGATGATTTTTCGTCTTCTTGTTGTTCTGGGTTGCTGTCAATTTGCTGGCTTCTGTGTGCATTTGCTTCTTGATGGCCAAATCATGATGATGGAAATGGAATTCTTTACTTCACTATAGACCCAAATGGTATGTGCCCTTCAACTCCTCCATTTTAATTAGTTTATTGATAACATTCTCAGTTCTACATCATACTTTTCCCATTTATGTTGAAATCCCAGAACTGCTTATATTTTGTCTTATTTGACTGAAAATAACGTGTTTTCCTAGCTTGGAAATTAGATAAACTTTCATTGAATTCAGGGGATTCAATCGACTGCCACTCGCAGAATTTTAGATGCAGAATACTTAGGCCTCTGATGCATACACTTAATTTTCTCAAGAAATGATCATGTCAGTGGCTTAATGTATGAACACTTTAATCGAAGCCATTAGCTAAATAAAATGGCTTAATGAATGATGCAATGTAGTTCGCTATGAAGTCGCACGAAGTATATAACCATATCGTAGTTTAGTACTTTAGTTAGTCTCACTGCTGTCCTTGTTTTGATTTTTGATCTCCCTCATTGATTGATGCATTGGATCCTGACCATTTATATCGAATAGGGCCAATGTATTATAATGGAGTTTACCATTTTTTCTATCAACACAATCCCCGGGAAGCACAATTTGGCAGTGGTAATCTATCTTGGGGGCATGCAGTCTCGTATAATCTGGTTGATTGGGTTTATCTTGAGCATGCTCTTAATCCCACTGATCCTTTCGACATCAATGGTTGCTGGTCTGGTTCTGCAACAATTCTTCCAGATGGAACTCCTGCTATTTTGTACACTGGAGTTGATTCTCAGAGTCGGGAAGTGCAAAATTTGGCCATTGCCAAGAATCCATCTGATCCCTACCTTAGAGAATGGATCAAATCACATCATAATCCTCTGATGGTTCCAGTTGATGGGATCGGCACCAGGTTTTTCAGAGATCCAACAACGGCGTGGCAGGGGCCGGATGGTAAATGGCGGGTGATTATTGGTAGCGAAATTAATGGTCATGGGACAGCACTTCTCTATCAGAGTGATGACTTTGTAACATGGAGTAAGAGCCCCAAACCTCTTCATTTTTCGGATGCAACAAAAATGTGGGAGTGTCCTGATTTCTATCCTGTTAGTGTCAATGGCACTAATGGGCTTGATACTTCTGTGATGGATACTAATACTAAGCATGTGCTGAAGGCAAGCATTAACATGGACAACTACATGCGCGACAGCTATGTGATCGGAACATATGAACCAGAAACAGATGAATTTGTGGTTGATGTTGATTTCAAGGATAAGAGTGTGGATTTGAGATATGATTATGGGGTATTCTATGCCTCTAAAACATTCTATGATAGTTTGAAGAGAAGGAGAGTAATGTGGGGATGGGTTCTGGAGGCAGATAGTAAATTGGATGACATAAACAAGGGATGGGCTGGACTACAGGTAATTTTACTCATGGCTTTGCTTTCTCCTCACTCGGCAAATTGTGTGACTCAAAAGTACCATATTTTCTTTCTGACATGCAGTCATTTCCTAGATCTATCTTGCTTGACGAAAGTGGAAAGCAATTAACTCAGTGGCCTATCAGAGAAATTGAGAGCTTGCGCACAGAAGAAGTCAATATTCAGAACAAAGAGATTGAAGGGGGAGCTGAATTTGAGATAACCGGCATTACAGCTTCACAGGTAGACTAATTAAGCCTAATTTACCAAAGCTTCTTATGTTCTACAGACAGTGGTAACTAATTTGCTATGCTTAGGCTGACGTAGAGGTATCGTTTCATATACCTAATCTTGATGATGCGGAGCTACTGCTTCGTGAATGGCGCGATCCTGAGGCCCTTTGCAGGATAAAGAATGCATCCGCTGGAGGCAAAATTGGACCTTTCGGATTGATGGTTTTGGCCTCAGATAACTTGGCTGAACACGCTGACATTTTCTTTCGAATATACAAAGGCAATGACAAACATGTTGTGCTCATGTGCAGTGATCAAAGCAGGTAATTATTAGCCGGTTTAACCATAATCCTTTCTTATTCATGGAAAACAGAACTCGTTCAGTGAAAGCTTTTTATTCTATTGCAGATCTTCATTGAGAGAAGAGGTTGAAAAAACCACATATGGGGCCTTCATTGATGTTGATCCTTCACAAAACCTTTCATTGAGAAGTTTGGTCAGTGGCTCATAGATAGAAAATAAAGTTCTGTCTTGCAGGATTTATAACAAACATAATTTTGTTCTTCTCCATTCTTTTTTTCAGATTGATCACTCAATCATTGAAAGTTTTGGAGGTAGGGGGAAGACTTGCATCACCGCCAGAGCTTATCCGAAAGTGGCGGTTGGTAATGCAGCCCGACTATATGCTTTCAACTATGGGACTGAAAGCATTGTAATCTCAAGCTTAAGTGCTTGGAGCATGAAGCCTGCTCAACTATCTCCTCTACATGAAAGAACAAAATCCCAAATTTGATTATCATATGCTCTTGGATGTCTCTATTTCCCAAATTTTTTCACAATTTTCATGGCTCTTGAATGTCAAATACTTTTTTTCACATTTCCCATACAGTTTTTACATCCCCAGTGACAATAAATGTTTCAAGTTTAAGTTCAATTTCTGATAAACAGACCTGAAATGGTTTTCTGTTATTAAAGAAACGATTAGAGCACCGACATTACTAGATCATGAAGCTCACACTTTGATGCTATCTATTATGTTTCAAATCTATACGAGTCAGGAATATATATATAGACAAATCATATGTATGACGTTACTCTTTCGTATTAAAATAAGCAAGACGATTTTTTTGGGACGGAGAGATGTTCATGTCATTGCAATCGGTGAAATTCAAGTGATCCTTGCTCTGATCACTCATCTTATGTATCATGTAGTTGTGCTTTACAATTGCTTCTTTTTTTTTCTTTTTTTTTTTGGCGGATTGATTACTCAATTGTTGAAAGTTTTTGGACTTGGAGCGAAGACTCGTATTACCTCCAAAGTTTACCCCCAATTGGCTGTTGGTAATAAAGCTCATCTCTATGTTTTTAACTATGGCACAGAAAGTGTTGTAATTTCAAACTTAATTTGGAGCAACAAGTCAGCTCAAATCTTTCCTTTACATGAAAGAATTAGAAAATTCTACATATAGTTAATCACCAGATGCTCTTGGAATGAAACCATATGAGAGTGTATTTTAGTGGCTAGTGAAATTATTAGATCTCAAATAATTAATTAGAACTTCCAGCATGTTAATTGTTACAATTAGAAGTACAAGACTACAAGTGCTCTTTTCGTTTCTAATTTTACTAGTGATGTCTGGTCGCGCAATGCGCGACCCTGGCCCAGTTTATCTGTAGATCTTAGAAATATTTATATTTGAAAAAAAATAAAATTTTGTATTTGTAGCGATATATTTTAGAAATGTTTGAAGGATTTAGAAATGTTTTATAAGTGTGATCATAGAAATATTTGTATTTCACACAAAAAAAAAAAATTGTATTTCGCCATGTGTGTTTTAGAAATGTTTTATAAGTGTTACTTATTAAATATAAATAGCCTTAATCGAATAAATGTGTTGAAGTAAATGTTAAATAAAATATAAAAGCATCCTAATAAATTTAAATATTAGTAAAATGATTTATTGATGTTCTCCATTGGTCGTGCCAAATCAATACTTAGTAACAAAATTGACACTTTGTAACAAAAACCTAATTGATCAATTCAATTTAAAAAACCACTCTAGTTGAATGAAATATAAAGAAAAAATAAAATAAAAAAAACGTGTCACGTAAAGTGCAAAGGGAAATTTAGTAATTTAGTTATGATTAGACAAAAGGGCAATTTAGTACTTTCTACATGCCACGTGGCAATCATATGAGGTGTTTGAAAGGGAGGTTTTTGTTTCTAATATAGTAGGATTTGAGACGGGCATTTATTAATGCTTGAAAGATATCTAAACTATTATAACGAGAATAAATTCTATTGGGAAGGAATAGTACGTACTATTAGAATGCAAGTATTATATATTCTACCTTATGGCATAAACACTCCTCAAAATTTTTTCTCCTATTGTGTTTATGACGAGAATAGGACCCTTCTACATTTCCAGTCAGCATGGAGTCAAAACATATGTTTCATTAAACTTTCAACCCAGAGATTCTTACGAATTCCGTTCATACCAATCGCTATTTAATTTCACAAGTTCAATTCCAAAAGTTCATCCCATCTAGTCTCTCATTATTATAGTACAAAAATCACAAAACACAATATGTGAATTATATTTTTGGGATTGCTAGAATCAATTTTTTCTATACGTAGAAACAAGCAAACAAATAAATTCGACTCTTGTAGTATGATTTTGTACTGCTATTCTTTCCGTTTTAGAAAAAGAATAGTTTATTTTATCCACTCATTTTGAAGTTTTAATTGTTTATTTTTTTTAATTATATTTAGGACTTGTGACTAATCTCTTCACTAAATTATATAAATTTGCTGTTATTTATATTGATGGGAGGTTTGCAAGGGTTTATTTGTTTAATTTCATCATCTCTCGATTCATGATGCGCTGCATTCTCTGATGAAAAGTGAAGTGTATTTGTTTGGAAGCATTCAGTGCATCATGCCATGATATTTACCTGGTTAAGCAATTTCGACAACGACTTGCTGAATTTTACAAATAAATTATGGTTGTTAAGACCAAATTTAATTAGCTTGCATCCAACTTAATTGAATCAGATTAAGGAGTGGACGATTGGATCTTTAGTCCTTTTTTATACTCCCTCCGTCCTAAACTTATTGTCCAGTTTGAGATTTCACTCTTAGTACAATTTGAATTAGAAATGAAACTGTTAATTCAAGAAATTTACCGTTTCTATATCTAGTTGAATTACTTTAATTAATTTCTTCCATCAGAATTTTCGTTAGGATAGACTCAAATTAACTCACTTTGAAATTCTAAAACAACCGCAATGGTCTCTCTTTGTTGTTGACTTTGTAAATAATCCGATCAAATTTGGCCTTGCGAACGTCTTATATTGTTTCTATCGTTGCTACCTCTCATCGGATCAGATCACTTTGTATATTCACGAGCTTATTTTCTTTAAATTAATACAATTTCTTCAACCGGGTTTGCATCATGGAGGCAGGTCCAAATTTTGATGGACAAATTGGATTACTTACTGGAGTATTATATTTTTAAAAATAGCTTGCATAATCACGAGCTTTATTTTTGTGGTATGTTTAATGTTTGAATGGCTTTAGTTGGCCCTTGGAAATCTGGGGATAGATCTTTATTGTTGCTTTTAAAAATAGGATAATTAATTTTGTAATTCAGACATTTTGTTCAAATGAATATTCGAAGGGTTGCTTATAAAAACAGATAAGGACCTTTTAGGTCACACTTTTTACTTATATTCATTTTCAATAATGTTTTATGCCGATTTTAATTTGGTTCTCTTTTTTTTTTTTTAGGGAAAGGTTTTTTAAGCTTTTTTGCCACACTAATATTTACATCTGAGCCTTTTTTTTTTTTCTCTTTTCTTGATTTGTGATGAAAAATTAAATAGAAAATTTTGACTCTAAATATTAAAAGAAAAACAACAAAGGCCTTTGTTAAGTAAAAAAATATTAACTAAGACATTCATAATTAAGTAAATAGAAATTTACCTTAAAATAGAAAGCCAAGAATACTTTTATCACAAGAGAAAATTTTGTGGAATAAAAAAGTTGAAATATAGAAATAAAAGATATTGAGTTTCGAAACCTTTTTATAGTAAAAATGGGATAAATGGGATTATGTTTGTTTCGTTTTTTTAGTGTGTGTTTTTAGGTATTTTTTGTATTGGGAATATAAAAAGGTGTATTGAAAATGTAAAAAGATATGATGGGATGGGACAGTTATTCTTTAAATATTCTGAAAATACCATCAAAAAATCCAAACAAACATTGCAAGGGCAAAAATAAAGGATTGGCATATATAATAAAAATAAAAAGAAATTGAACGACATGTTTGTGCAAGCAAAATCTTTTTTTTCTTTGTATTTTTAGGGAAAAAGGAAACAAGCAAAATGCAACTTGAAGAAAGAAAAGTATGAAATCTCTTTATTAATTTCATATTAGGTCTGAATTGGAAACAAAATGTGTGATTATTCTATTGATACGATTCTGTACTAACATTCTAATTAGTATCTAAATTAGGATACACCTAGAGTCCAAATTAGTATAAAAAAATATTAGATTGACAATTAAATAAATAGTTAAACCGTTACTCCATAGAAATTACTATTTAAGAATTTCTATTTAGATTACTTCAACCCCTTTAATTCATCAGATAATCTAGTGTTGATTTAATTAAGCTATATCGTTTTTGAAATACATAGTCATCAACAACGGCGACCATCTTCATGAAATTCATCCTACTGCAACTATTCATGATCTGAGTGTTGGATATCTAAATTGATATTGACCTTTTGTCTTTTCTATTTCTCCGATTGCTAACTTTTATCATCTAACAAAATTGACGTCACGGCCTCATTGACTGACTGGAACAAAAGCTACGGCTCAATCTTCTCTTAGAATTTAAACAATGCTTAGATTGATCGCGAATACCAATTCGACAATGAAGATGGGTTGGATCGGTATCATTTCCATAAAGTATTTACAGTTCACTCAAATTATCACACAATCCATATGTGAAGAAGCTGACATATAAGGAGTAGTGCATGAGCTGCCATGATTCTGAATTTGAAGATTATCTTTTTTATCAGTTTTTCAAACTTCCATATCAACTGCTCTACATAGCATCTTTATTATGCGAATTTTCTAAATTTTGAAAACATATCTAGCTCATATGATTTCTTATATACATATTATTTTTTTTTAAGCCTTACTAAGGTACTCCTTGCGGTGCTCATAATAAGACTTCTTGATTTGTTCTAAATTTTTTTTATATGTTTTTTAATTGAAAATAAAACTTTAAAAATGTACCTTAGCATTTATTATGTTCTTCCAGTTATAAAATATTTTTAAAATCTTATTTTCAATTCGAAGAATATACTAAATGTAACTTGTGTAAGATCAAAATGCCTTATAATAAGGGCCGGAAGGGGTATTTCCTAATCATATAAGCTAGGGTCATTTTCTTTATTTAAAATAAACAGACTATTTTTTTTGTTTATTTGATTTGTTCGTGGAAACAGCTCAAATGGAATTTTTTTTTCTTACCTTTTTATTCTATTGATATATTTTTACGTGATCACATTATATCTTATTATTAAATACATTGATGGATATAAATTATGAGTGAATATTTAAAGAGATCTTTTTCAATATATTTAGCAATACCTCCAAACAGTAATACCTGTTGTATTGCATATTAAACAACCCACTATTGCTGTCTTTAAGGGTAAAAATATACAATGAACAACAAACTTTTATAGTTTTGTTACTTTGATTATGAATTTTTTTTTCTTTTTTTTTTTTTTTTTTTTGGTTTTCAGAATATCAATTGTTGGTAATTTTAGGATTTCTATATTTAAACTATAGATTATATGATGTAAAATTTTGATACAATACTATATAAATTCCGCAGTACAACGCACGGGGTACATGCTAGTTAAGGAGAAAAAGAAAACAAACAAATAAATTCAATTGTTACACATTAGTGATAAACTCTCGTACTATTTTTTTTCTTTCATTTTGTCTCCTTGTTTCAGTTTTATTTCTTTACATTTCAAATAAAAAAAATTCTTCATATTTACGGATTTGTAATTAATCTCCTAACTAGATTATAAAATATATTATCCTTTAGAGGTTTGCGTGGGTTTTTTTATTTGTTAAATTTCATCATCTGTCGATGCTTGCTGCCCAAGAAGTCTTCGCTGAAAAGTATAAAATCTAAATGGTCACTGATCTAGTCACCAATGATTCATTTAAGTCCATCTCTGATTATAAAAATAAAAATTTTAAAAAAATGAAATAAAAGGAGTATCTTTTAACATCATCCACATCATAATCTGATTAACTAAAGTATGGATGCAAGCTAATTTGGTCCTAACAACCATACTTTATTTGTAAAAGTCATCAAGTCCTTTTCTAATTGCATAATCAGGTAAAATATCATGGCATGATAATGCACTGAATTCTTCCAATACAATATAATTTATATTTATAGTTTGACATTTGCTTCAACAAAAAAAGCAAGGCACTTCATTTTCTCCAATTAATCAGTTTGAGAAACAGAGAAAGAAAAAGATGCCAGGATCAATTTCTCCTGTAACAGTAACTGATGAAATTTGGGTTGATGAGCATGATGATCCAACAGAAGAAGCAGTAATGCAGCAGCCTTACAGGACAGCCTTCCATTTTCAGCCTCCAAAAAACTGGATGAACGGTAATGATATTTGATGAAAAATACATATTATCGTTTCCTCATTACATTGACTTAATTTTGGATTCTTCAAGGCTGAATGTGATGATGATTTTTCTTCTTGTTGTTTTTTATGTTCTGGGTTGCTGTTATTTGCTTGCTGGCGGTGATTTTTGCGTCTGATGGCCGAAAAATGGTGATGGCTTACTGAATTTCACCACTATAGATCCTAATGGTATGTTTGTATTTCAACTAATCCAATTTTTTGATAGCTTTTGAACTAGCTGGAAGTATATAACAATGTCGCAGTTTAGTTAATTAGTCCACTGGTGTTCTTGTTTTGATTAAGCAAAACTGTTTTACCTGATGATCTCTCCCAATTGATTTGATAGGCCCGATGTATTACAATGGATTTTACCACTTTTTCTATCAATACAATCCACGGGAAGCTCAATTTGGCGATGGTGATCTTTCTTGGGGGCATGCGGTGTCAAGTAATCTAGTTGATTGGGTTCATCTTGAGCCTGCTCTTAATCCCACTCATCCCTTTGACATCAATGGCTGCTGGTCCGGTTCTGCAACATTTCTTCCAGACGGAACTCCTGTGATTTTGTACACTGGAATCGATTCTCAGAAACGTGAAGTTCAGAATTTGGCCATCCCCAAGGATCCATCTGATCCCTACCTTAGAGAATGGATCAAATCAGATAAAAATCCTTTAATGGTTCCAGTTGATGGGATGGGTGCCAGGTTGTTCAGAGATCCAACGACGGCGTGGAAGGGGCGGGATGGAAAATGGCGTGTTACTATAGGTGGCGAGATGGATTTGCATGGGACATCCTTTCTCTATCACAGTGATGACTTTGAGACCTGGACCAAGAGCTGTAAACCTCTTAATTTTTCGACAACGTCGAATATGTGGGAGTGTCCTGATTTTTTTCCTGTTAGTGTTAGCGGCGCTGATGGACTTGATACTTGTGTTATAGATGGAAATATTAAGCATGTGTTCAAGGCAAGCATTAACCAGCACTCCTGCATGCGTGACTGCTATGTTATAGGAACATATGATCCAGAAACGGATGAATATGTTGCTGATTTTGATTTCATTGATAAGAATGTGGATTTGAGGTATGATTATGGGGTATTCTACGCTTCGAAATCATTCTATGATAGTGAAAAGAGAAGGAGAGTATTGTGGGCATGGGTTCTGGAGGGAGAGACTTCATCAGATCACATAAAAAAGGGATGGTGTGGAGTACAGGTAACTTTTTTGTCATCTGCTACTGGCTTTGCTTGCTTCTCCATCAGCAAATTATCACTCCAATTACCACATTTTCTTTCTGATCTGCAGTCATTTCCTAGAACTATCTTGCTTGATGAAGGTGGAAAGCAATTATCACAGTGGCCTGTTAGAGAAATCGAGAGCTTGCGCACGAATGAAGTCAAAATTCAGGATAAAGAGATCAAAGGGGGAGTTGTATTTGAGATAACCGGCATTACAGCTTCACAGGTAGACTAAATAAGTAAGCCTGATTTATTGCTTACCAAGCTTATTATGTTCTGCACACAATGGTAACCAATTTGCTATCCTTAGGCTGACATAGAGGTCTCGTTTTATATACCAAATCTTGATGATGCCGAACTACTGCCTCCCGAAGGGCGTGATCCTCAAGCCTTTTGCAAGACAAAAAATGCATCTGCTGGAAGCAAAATTGGACCATTTGGGTTGATGGTTTTGGCCTCAGATGACCTGGCCGAACACACTGACATTTTCTTTCGGGTATACAAAGGCGAAGACGAACATGTTGTGCTCATGTGTAGTGATCAAAGCAGGTACTGATTAGCTTTTTTAACCATTCATGGACATCAGAATTTGTCCTAATAAAACTTTAATTCCTTTTCAGGTCTTCTTTGAGAGAAGAGGTTGAGAAACCTACACATGGGGCCTTTGTTGATATTGATCCTTCACAAAAATTTTCATTGAGAACTTTAGTAAGTGGCTCATATCATATATACATAAATGTTCTCAAGTTCCTCTTCTTGTAGGCTTTATAAAAACATGGTTTTGAGCTTCTCCAAAACTTTTTGCAGATTGATCACTCAATCATTGAAAGTTTTGGAGGTGGAGGGAAGACTTGCATCACTGCCAGAGCTTATCCAAAAGTGGCTGTTGGTAATGCAGCCCGCCTATTTGTTTTCAACTATGGGACTGAAAGCATTGTAATCTCAAGCTTAAGTGCTTGGAGCATGAAGGCAGCTCAACTATCTTCTCTCCTTTAATGAAGAGCATCCCACATTTGGTGATCCTTAGCGGTTAAATGTAACCAATGTGATGTCAAAACAAAAATATTTTCAAATTTTATGTTTAATTTCCGGAAAGCAGAGTCATGTTTGTGTGAAATTTGATATTTTGTAATAAGACCATGAAATAGTTGTTTTAAAGTTATTTCACTGATCATTTTGGACTTCAACAAACATGAAAAATATTTTGGGACGGAGAAAATATCGTTTGTATTCCCTTCATTGCGACTGGTAAAGTTCGAGTCATCCTTGCTGAAAAGCTTCAAAATCTCTCAATGCTCCAGTGAGTCACACATGACTCATCCTAAACTTTGTCTCATTACAACAAATGGTTTATTAATCATTGCCAATATTATAACACACCATCCAAATAAAATGTTTTATACTTTATAGTGTTAAATTAACTCAAAGTAATCTGAGGACTTGATGTTTGTTAATCTGGTCCTAACCACCACCATATATTAATAAGTCAAGTCATTTTTAATATATTAAATCAGGAATATATAATAATCTTGGTATAAAATCACCTGAGTTCTTCCAGTAAAGACATTCTATATCATCTGATTACTAAGAGAGAAATTAAGAGATGAAGATCAGATTATCTTCCTCGTATACTTGGTTGATGGTGGTGATGCTGGCATATGTTACTTTCAAACTAGTACCAATACCAAGAATTGATGAACCTATTCTTGTTGACTACGATCAACTGCAGCCTTACAGGACAGGCTATCATTTCCAGCCACCTAAAAACTGGATGAATGGTAAGTTTACTCTTCTTCTTAGAATCTGAAACAATTCCTTGATCACTTGAATTTGATGAAAGTTTATGGTTATCCACCACTTCAATCTTTTGTAACTCTTTGATGGTGCTGATTATGTTCTCTTCTTGTTGTTTCTGTCATTTGCTTGATGTGATTTTGCTTCTGATGGCCAAAAAAAATGGTGATGCTAATGACATCTTGACTTCATTAGATCCCAATGGTATGTGTACATTTCAAGTTCTTTATTTGATTGATTGCTTTTGAGAGTTGATATTCAATGCCATCATCTACTTAGAATCACATTGTAGTTTAGCCTTTTGGTTATCAGGGCAATTATATGATTGCCCTCACTGATGTCTAAACAGGGCCGATGTATTACAATGGAGTTTATCATCTTTTCTATCAATACAATCCACAAGGAGCAACTTGGGCTGGGGGTCTCCTTTCTTGGGGCCATTCTGTATCATATAATTTGGTTGATTGGATTCATCTTGAACCTGCACTTGATCCCACTGACGCTTTTGACATCAATGGCTGCTGGTCTGGTTCTGCAACAATTCTTCTAGACGGAACTCCTGTTATCTTGTACACAGGAAGTGATTCTGAGAAGCGTCAAGTACAAAATTTGGCTTTTCCCAAGAATGCATCTGATCCTTACCTCAGTGAATGGGTAAAATCAGAACATAATCCTATAATGACTCCAGTTGATGAGATGAATAACGAGTTTAGAGATCCAACGACTGCGTGGCAGGGGCCGGATGGGAAATGGCGGGTGATCATTGGTTGCGAACTTAGTGGGTATGGGGCAGCAGTTCTCTATCTGAGTGAGGATCTTGTGAATTGGACTAAGAGCCATAGACCTTTTTATTCTACAAAGAGAGCAAAATGGTGGGAATGTGCTGATTTTTTTCCTGTCAGTGTTAATGGAAACAATGGACTTGATACTTATGTGATAGATGGAAATATTAAGCATATTCTCAAGGCAAGCTTTAACAATAGCGACTACTATGTCATCGGAACTTATGAACCAGAAATAGACCAGTTTGTTGCTGATGATGGTATAGAAGACTTCCTGGATGACAATGTGGATTTGAGATATGATTACGGAATGTTCTATGGTTCTAAAACATTTTATGATGGTGCACATAGGAGGAGAATTGTGTGGGCATGGATTATGGAGGCAGAGAGTCAATCAGATGACTTAAAAAAGGGATGGTCTGGACTACAGGTAGTTTTAGACATAGCTAACCGATTTTGCCAGTTCCTTTCATAAATTCTTGTCACGTAAAATGTAACAAGTTACTCTAATTTGCAGTCATTACCTAGAACAATCTTGCTTGATGAAGGTGGAAAGCAATTATTGCAATGGCCGGTTAGAGAAATCGAAACCTTGCGTACAAAAAAAATCAGTATTCAGAATTATGAGGTCAAAGGAGGAGCTGCATTTGAGATAACCGGCGTTACAGCTTCACAGGTACACTAGCTAATTCAGTCTTTTCTTTTGTTACCTTAGGTTCATTAAGTTGTAGATGGAAGGAAGATAACTCATTCTCCACAGGCGGACATAGAAGTCTCATTTCACCTCCCAAATCTTGATGATACGGAACTACTGCATCCGGAATGGCGCGACCCTCAAGTCCTTTGCAGCAGAAAGAATGCATCAGCTGGAGGGAAAGTTGGACCATTTGGCTTGATGGTTTTAGCCTCAAGTGACTTGACTGAACACACTGATATCTTTTTCCGGATATATAATAAAGGCAATTACGAGTACGTTGTGCTCATGTGCAGTGATCAAACAAGGTGACCATTAACTACAGTATATTTCTTTTCACCATACTCGGGTCTAAATCATGCGAAATCAGAGCTTTCTTTTTTTTTTTTTTTCTGTGCAAGCTAATCCTTCTTTTTTTGTAGGTCTTCTTTGAGAGAAGGGGTTGGCAAATCCACATTTGGGGCCTTTGTGAATGTTGATCCAACACAAAACATTTCCCTAAGAAGTTTGGTAAGTGCCCTCATATAGTCATATATAGTCTTTTGTTTCTTGTAGTTTTAGTTCAATAAAAGAGACATTTTTAGGGGAACGAAGGAATATAAATAAATAAATAAAAAAAAAAAAACAAAATCCCAGTTTCCTTGTAGGTTTTATAACATCCTTTTTTTTGTGTGTGTGTGTGGTTATAATGATTTTGGCAGATTGATCACTCAATTGTTGAAAGTTTTGGAGGTGGAGGGAAGAGTTGCATCACCGCCAGAGTTTATCCACAATTGGCCGTTGGTAATGAAGCTCACCTATATGTTTTTAACTATGGCACAGAAAGTGTTGTGATCTCAAACTTAAGTGCCTGGAGCATGAAGTCAGCCGAACTACTTCCTCTGGATGAAAGAACAAAATCCCAAGTTTGATTATCCTATGTTGTTGTCGAAGTGAACAATTTATGGGAATCAAATTCATGCGCAATTAGTTTTCACTTTTCAGTTTTCCTTTTTCTTTCATCTAAGTTATATTGCGGGTGTGTGTGTGAATTGCGAACGTAAATAAGAATAATAATTTAAAATGTGTTAATGTAAAAAATGTACTCCAAATACAAATAGGACTGACTATCTTGTGGGGAAAAATCAAGGAAGTTACTACTATTAATCCCAAGATTGAGAAATCTGTTTACATCTTGGATTGTGATGTAACACTAATTTGCTAACTCGGCGGCTATAAGTATGACAATCGGAATCCTACTAGGAATATTTGATTCAAAAAAAAAGAAAGAAAAAAAAACAGGAATCCTACTAGGAATAAGATACTACCAAAAAAGTAGTACCTTTGATATCATCCTCTCTATATACTATTGATGTCTGGTCGCGCAATGCGCAACCCTGGCCCAATATATCTGTAGATCTTAGAAATGTTAGTATCTAGAAAAAAAATATTTTGTATTTGGCCCGATATATTTTAGAAATATTTGAAGAATTTTAGAAATGTTTTATAAGTATGATGTTTGTATTTGGTATAAAAATAAATTGTATTTGGCTCGGTACGTTTTAGAAATGTTTAAAGATTTTAGAAATATTTTATAAGTGTTACTTCTTAAATATAAATAAACTTGATCAAATATATGTCTTGAAGTGAATGCTAGAAAAAATATAAAAACATTCTAATAAGTTTAAATATTAGTAAGATAATTTATTGATGTTCTCCATTGGTTGTGCTAAATCAATACTTAGTTTTGGAGATTTATAATAGCTTTGTAGTTAGCTTCCTCCAAAGGGTATACGCTTAATTGTTGGAAGTATTTCTTCCAAAAGTTTATAGGTAGTAAAATATCAAAAATATGATTTTGATACTGGTTAATTGTTGAAACTGGTTGATCACAAATATGAGAATGAAAATAATGTAAATTTACACAGGTTTCAAGATATAGCAAAAAAGAACCCACCTCACCATGGCAAATAAAAAAAAAAGTAAAAGATAGTCCATTAAAATTTGAGATTTTTTTTTCTATAGGTAAAAATGATGTATAAAAACACAAATAAACGTAGAAACATCATTCCTTCCCTCTCCACCTCAAATTCATAAAAGGCTTCCCCATAAATTAGTTAAAAGAAGCGACCTGAACTATTTATATGATGAGGAACTAAAAAAAGTCCAAAAACCAAATCCAAAAAATTATATTCTTGAAACCCCGAACACAAAAAAAAAGTACATCATTTGCAAATAAAATAATAATAATAATAATAATAATTGGTCAAATGGGAGTATGAAACAAATTCAAAAGTAATTAAACAAAGAAAAAACCCACTTCATAACTGGCCATATACGAAAAAAAAACCTGAGACTCCATAATTAAAAAAAAAAACCACTCTAATGGAATGAAACATAAAAAACAAATTTAAAAAACCACACTTTGTGACAAAAACCCAATCAATCAATTCAATTCAAACATAACTAAAATCATACAAAAATTATAGACTAACTAACTAAATAAGAAATCACATCATACTACCTGACAACAGCTCCGGTAGCTGTAACGGATGGACGCATAAAAATAATAGTAATAATACTATTCTTGAACGGGAAAAATAAAAAATAATAAAAGCCAAACCAATTATCTGTGGAAATAAAATCATTTAAATTTTAATACCTATAATGGCACCACCACAACGGCCGAAGCAAGATCAATGAAAATTTTCTTTTTTCCTTTGTGTTTATATAGAGAGGTAAAGAGAATGTTTTTTGAAGTTAAAATTTTATCCGATTAGGATGTAGTTGATCATCACTAATGAAAAGATTGAACATGCTAATAGGAAAGGAGTATATTTCACCACATATTCCCAATTGATTGATGAGGAATTTATTTATTTTTTAATTATGAAGAAGGGATTGATTAAGGAGTCGATTGTCGTAGCGATGGGGATTAGGATTTGGGTTTTTTATGAACCCGTGATTTTTTTTTTTTGACGAAAATAGGAGGTAGAAATAATTTGGACTGCATTTGCCTTTTAAGTTTAGGAGGTGTGGAAATAAAAATTTATTTTAAAAATATGATGTGAAAATGGTGGCAAATAGTGGTGATTTCTCTTAAGTGTGGTTTTTGTTTCTAATATAGTAAGATATTTGGTATTTAGCGAAGCAAGGTAGGAATATCTGAGGATAAGATTCACCCTTTGGAGGCTAAATATCCCCATATAGGTCATCATCACTCATCAGCATCCCGGAACTGAACATTGTTTTTCTCCATCGCCAATGGCCGCCGATTGGAGGTCGACTGAGGTGCAACGGGAGATGATTAGGCGGGAGATATTGGAGAGGATGAAGAGGGCATTAGTGAATCGTTGCCATTGGTTATTGCCACAGCTGTAGGCAAATGTAATGCTGCACCAAATGACTTGCCTCAGTTGGAGGAAGCTGTTGCCAGATACGAGGAGACGGTGTTTAAGGAAGCCACTATCCCGTCGGATTATTTGAGGATCATCTCTACCAGGATGCAGACTTTCGAGACTAGATATCCCGCCACTCCCCCGCCCTTTTCTTCTTCTTCTATGCAAATCAATGATGTAAACCACCATTGCTGCGGCAGCATTCATCGTTTATTTGCTCATCTCAATAATGACAGTGGTATGCAATACTAATTGAAGTGAACCAGAAAAGAATGAGGAACTTCTACCATGTTTGTGATATTAGGGTTGTTCAATACAAGGAGGGTTATCTCAATCAACTCCCACAATTACGGTACAAATCTCTATCTAAGGTAAGTATAGATCTTACAGTAAAGACTGATCTATTTACCAAAATATATACACCGTAATACCCCCCTCAAAATGGAGCATGAAGATTTCGGATGCCCAACTTGCCAAAAAAAAATCGAACTGTGGTTTGCCCAAGGCCTTTGTGAAAATATCAGCAAGTTGTACATGCGTGGAAACGTAGCTGGGGAGAATAGTACCCTTCAAAACTTCATCTCGAACAATATGACAATCAACCTCAATATGTTTGGTGCGCTCATGAAAAACTGGATTGGCGGCAATATGCAAAGCAGCCTGACTATCACAGTAAAGACGAATAGGCTGAGGATGAAGAATACCAAGAAAATATAATAAACCCTTTAACCACTTCAGCTCACAAACACTAGAGGCCATAGAACGATATTCCGCCTCAGCCGAAGAGCGTGAAACCGTTTGCTGTTTCTTCGTCTTCCATAAGACGGGCGAAGTTCCTAACTCAACAAACTAACCAGTAAGAGAACGACGAGTTAACAGACAACTGGCCCAATCAGAATCACACCAGCCAGATAACTAAAGATCCGAGTCAGCCTGTAAAAGAATACCCTGGCCACAAGTCCCCTTGAGAAATCGAACAACGCGAAGAGCGGCCTCCCAATGGGCCTGCATAGGACGCTGCATAAACTGAGCAAGAGTGTGAACACAATAAGATAACTCATGATGAGTAACAGCAAGATATATCAGGCGCCCCACCAAGCGCCGATAAGACTCGGGGTTCGAAAGAGGAGCCTCAGTAACCAAAGCAAGATTATGATTCTGCTCCAACGGAAAACTAGCAGGTTTGGCCCCTAACAGACCGACCTCAGAAATAATGTCTAAGGCATACTTACGCTGACAGAGAAAAATGCCAAGAAGAATTACGAGCAACTTCAATGCCAAGAATATATTTAAGAACCCCAAGGTCCTTCATGTGAAAACATCTGCTCAAGTAATCCTTAAACGACTGTATAGCCAAACTATTCTTCCCAGAAAGAATAAGATCATCAACATAGGCTAAAATAGTAAGCTGCATAGTACCACGACGAAGCACAAATAGAGAGTAATCAGAAGCAGATTGCTGAAAGCCATACCGTCGCAAGGCACTAGCCAACTTGGCAAACCAACATCGAGGAGCCTGTAGCAAACCATAAAGAGAGCGACGAAGACGACACACAGAACCAGGTTCGTGAGAACGAAACCCAGGAGGCAACCTCATATGTACTTCCTCATCCAAATCGCCATGCAAAAAGGCATTATGAATATCCATCTGATGAAGTTCCCATCCCTTAGCAGCAGCCACAGTAAGTAAAGTACGCACTGTCACCATTTTTGCAACAGGAGCAAAAGTCTCGTTGGAATCAAGACCCTCAATCTGATTGTTGCCTAAGACGACCAGGCAGGCTTTATACCGATCGAGGGAGCCATCAGAATTATATTTAAGCTTGAACACCCATTTGCAACCAATTGCGCGCTTTTCAGGAGGAAGTGAAGTAACAGTCCAAGTGCCATTCTTCTCTAAGGCCTGAATCTTGTGTTGCATAGCAAGCTGCCACTTAGGATCTTTAACAGCTTCTGAAAAACTCCAAGGTTCAATTCCTGCAGTAACACTAGCCAAAAATGTGCAATGTTGTGGAGAAAAAGAGGCACAAGAAACATCATTGTGTATAGGATAGGATGCACCTGAGGAAACTGAAGCAGCGGAAGTGAGAGAAGAGGGGCTTAATGCTATAACAGTATGAGATGCAAAGTCACGTAGGCGAGTTGAACGCTGTTTGATGCGATGCCCACGGCCCAGTAGTTCTTCCTGTTGATCAAAAGTAGAGCCCCCCCTGGCAGGCGAGGGGGGAGAGGTAGAACCAGAAACAGGTGCAGAAGAACCCTGAAGATGATACAAGAACCGGATCAGGAACCGGAACTGGTGAAGATCCCTCAATAGGATCAGAAAGATCATCATCTACAAAAACAGGTGAAGACTCAAAAATGGGTAGTGAAACCGTATCCGAAGCCATGGAAACAGAAGGAAACTCAGACTCCAAAAACACAACATCACGAGAGACCAAGAATTCACCAGTGTCTAAGTCATAAACACGCCAACCCTTTTTACCATAAGGGTAGCCCACAAACAAACATTTCCGACTACGGCTGGAAAACTTATCGCCATTACGATTCTGATTATGCACATAACACAGGCATCCAAAAATACGTAAATGATACAGAGAAGGAGGCTTGCCGTATAAAAGCTCACAAGGGCTTTTGCCATTCAGAACACTAGAAGGAGTACGATTAATCAAGTACCCTGCAGCAAGTACACATTCACCCCAAAATTCAATAGGAAGATGAGCTTGAAAATGCAAAGCACGAGCCACATTTAAAATATGCCTATGTTTTCGTTCAACACGACCATTTTGCTGGGGGGTCCCTACACATGAAGTTTCATGCAAAATGCCATGCTGAAGAAAAAATTCAGTTAAACACATAAACTCGGTCCTATTATCACTTCGAACATGTTTCACCAATTTTTCATGCTGATGTTCAACCATAGCAATATAATTACGGAGCTTCAAAAAAACTTCTGTTTTATCATTCGACAGATAAATCCACGTAGCACGAGAAAAATCATCAACCATAGTCAAAAAATAACGAGCACCCGAAAACGAAGGAACCCGATATGGACCCCACAAGTCACAATGAATTAACTGAAAAAGGGCTGATGTCTGAGTATTACTAACAGGAAAGGAAGGGTGAGACTACTTGGCCCGAAAACACGCATCACAGGCCTTATTATGAAAATAACTAATATCTTTGCAAGATCCTACACTAGGAACCAACGCGAGAACCTTAGAAGACGGATGTCCTAGACGTTGATGCCAGAGCTCAATAGAAGGAACTCCAGTAGTTGTTGCAGCCGCGATAGTCCCCACATCCTGAAAAAAATAAAGCCCCTCTCGTTGCTCACCCGCTCCAATCAGCATTCTCGAAGTGGGGTCCTGAATAACACAAAAATGTGAAGTAAAGTGAGCAACAGAGGCAGAATCTCGCAACAATTGAGAAACAGAAATAACATGGCACTTCAAGCTCGGCACAAAGAGAACATGTTGCAATGTGAGCGTAGCACTTAGAACCACAATACCCGCCTTAGTAGTCACAGCAGAATGACCATTCGATAATTGAATCGAAACACCAGGAATATCATAGACAGACATAAAATAAGCAAGAGAACCTGTCATATGACGGGATGCACCTGAATCATACATCTGAATATCACAAACACGCTTACCAGACAACGGAGAACCCGAAGTGGGCTTAGCCGAGTTGAGCAAAGAAAGGAGAGTCTGCCATTGGTCACTACTTAAACCGGTTACAGCCAGACCGCTAGAACTAGCCCCAGCCGAGTCACCCGAAGTGGGTAACATAACCGTATTAGCCGAGACTGAACCAGGCTGAAATAGACCACCCGAACCAGCTCCAATTGAATTGGAATTGCCGCGATCAGAGCCGCCAACACTGCCAGTGCCGCCACCACGCCCACGGCCGCCACCACGACCTCGAGGCTACCAACCTGCCGGATAGCCAATCAGTTTGTAACAGGTGGAGACGTCGTGGTTGGGATGATGTCAATTGCTACAAAAAAGAGGCTGAGCGCCGGGAGTACCACCATGGTCGGTAGAAGATCCACGTCCGGCGGATTTGGAATTGACTGAAGCTGCCATAGCCGCCGCTACATCAGAAACAGTATTGCCCGGAAAAGCAAAAACAGGCGCAGCAAAAGCAAAACTCATGGTCTTCGGCGGATTCTCATTGGCGTGAGCAATCAGACGCAAACGTTCTTCCCTGATGATGGCGGCGTAAACTTTGCTCAAACGAGGAAGAGGATCCTGAGCAAGTTGACGCGAACGGGCAGTAGAATAAATATTATCATCAAGGCCTAACAAAAAGTGATGGACTTTGTCGTCTTCTGCCTTCTTGTCGGGCGCCGCAGAGAGATTGCAAGAACAGCCACCGCACGAACAGATCGGAAACGAGTCATAAGACGCGAGTTCATCCCAAATCAACTTCAGATGACCATAGTAAGCAACAATACTGAGAACTTTTTGACGACAATTCGCAAGGCCAGATTTGAGTTACTGAAGGCATGGTCCATTGGCGATGGAGAATCGCTCCTGGAGATCTAGCCATAATTCACGAACGACTTCAGTATGCGAGATTGTCGAGCGAAGAGAAGGTTCGATCGTGTTGAGAATCCATGACACCAACAGAGAATTAATTGGTCCCCAATCTTCGGCATCCGGAGAAGAATCAGCCGGCCGAGAAATGGTCCCGTCAACAAAGCCGAATTTCTTTCCTACCCGGAGAGCAGTCTTGATGGCTTTGGACCATTCTACAAAATTACTATCTCCACGAAGTTGGACCGTGGTAATCGTATTGCCAGGAAGATCACTGGCAGAAAGATCAAACGGCGAAATCGTACGCCGGCGAGGGGGGGATCATTGGTTTCAACAGCGGGCAGTTTGTCTCCGAAGGAAGTAGCCATGTCCGTGTTTTTCATGATCAAAGAAGTCGGAAAAAAATGAAAAACTGATCAACAGGAGGATGAATGACCACCTGCGATTGATACCATGAAGTGGACCAGAAAAGAATGAGGAAACGACTCAAAACTTCTACCGTGTTTGTGATATTAGGGTTTGTTAAATACAAGGAGTGTTATCTAAATCAACTCCCACAATTACGGTACAAATCTCTATCTAAGGTAAGTACAGATTTTACAGTAATGACTAATCTATTTACCAAAATATATATATATATATATATATATATACCGTAATACTAATAATTATTATAGCTTGTGATTGTGTAATATTTAGAATCTATGCGATTGTTTCGTTATGCATTTTTGTGATGTAATTCGCGTGCGCCAGCTCACATACAACATTTTTGTTATGCATTGTTTCGTTATCAAATTTGAATTTTTTTAATACAATTATTTCGAGACGGAATGACAGATGGAGTACGTTCTAATCTTATTTTCCAGGTAGTGTTATAAGATGTGTTACACAAAAATTGATACGGTTTTGTGGAGACTTCGTGTTAATTTTTTTCTAACATTTTTAATCTATTTTGGTCACGTCTAAATCATTAATTTCTTCTGTTAAAACTTCTCAACCAATCAAATACTCCCTCCGTCCCATAATTATTGTCCAATTTTACTAAAATGAAAGATTTTATTTTTGGTCAAACTTAACTATATTTTACCTTAAACAACCGGATATACCCCTACATAAGTAATTGTTTAACCACTAAGATTTTATGGATAATATTTTTTACTAAGGGCAAATGTGTAACTTGATCCATAAAATGTCAAATTGGACAATAATTTTGGGACAAAATTTTTTGGGCAAAGTGGATAATAATTATGGGACGGAGGGAGTATGTTGTAAATATCTAATTTCACAAAGCATAGTCATAATATTAAAAAATATTAATTTCAAGATAATAGCTAAAAGATAATTCACTTTTCAAATGCTATAACTAATTTGCATTGTTAGTTTCAAAATAAAAATGGTTAAAATGTTGAGATATTTTTAATCATTTGTAGCCATTATACAAGTTTAATAAATCAAATAGTACTGGTTTTTTTAAAAGAAAATTAATTATTATTTCTCAAATTGATACGAATTTTTTTCAAATAAATTTTCAGAAAAAATTATCAAAAGAGAGCCTTAAATGTTTTTAAAAAAATTCAGGCCTAAAAATATATATATATATATCTTTTAATTTCAAAAGGTGAACAATATGGGATTTCGCCAATAGAATTAACAAAACCATTAATGATCTTCTGAGTAAATGTCTTATTTAGTATATTAAATGGAATTAATACAACATGTTATCTTACTCAATTTTAATATAAATGATTGTGTCCATTGTTGAATTATTTACATTTTTTTCTGGTTGCATGTTGTGCACATGTTGTGCCAAAACAGATACTAGTATCCAAAATAATTTATTAGTTTTCTTCCAAATAAGCCCTTCCCAAGTCAACAAAACTAAATAAATTATTTTCGATATTAGTAATTGTTTTGGCAATAAAAAAAGCCTGCATATTTTTTTGGTATACCATTTGCCGTAAATCAGAGTAGGCCCATTTTCTGACTTCTCAGAGAAAATTAATGTGTACTATCTATAGAGAAATCAACTCAATTGCCGATTGTCTAGCAAATTTGGGAAGTAGAGAACAAGTACACATGCAATTTAGTCAATCTACACTGCTACGGAGGTTAAAAGGATTAGCTATATTAGATCAACGTGGAACAGCTTATACTCAAACATGTAAACACTAATCAATCTATGTACGAAATTGATAAATAATTAATTTAAAAAATTTATAAATTAATTATTAGTTTAAATAATATTATTTTAAATATAATAAATTTAATAATTCTCCAAATTAATAAATTTTGTTAGTCACAAGACTTTTAATTTATAGAAATTCTACCCCATTAAAATCAATAAGGTAAAAAAGTTTGGTAGTCAAATTTATGTACAGATGGCAGAAGGGATATTAATGATGACATGGATAAACGTCCGTTATCTAATCCCTCTTTTACACTTCGCTATAAATTGCAACAAAGTAGCCCTCCTTTCCTTTTCTCCTAGAATGAAACCCGCAATCCCTTTGTTTCAGCAGACAAAAATTACAGATGGTGTTGGAAAAAAGTGCGCTATCACCATTGAGATATTCTGTTGTGGTACGATCCCAAGCTAATACAGTTATCAATTGTTTGATCCGACGACCATAAATTTTGGGAGAAGAAGAGAAGACAGAGCTTAAGCGAATCAAGGGGGGGCCAATCAGCGAAAACCCAATAATCAGCTTGGATTTTTCACCGTTTCCTGTTTTTATCGATCGATTAACTTGTTTGAGATGGAATGAATGGAACCCATTTCGGGGAAAGATGAATGAAAAATCGCCGATTACTTGATTGTAGGGATATTATTTGAGAAAGGGAATTAGGATTCAACTTAGATTGAAGTGATGGTGGTGGAGGATAATGGCGAGGGAGACGAAAAAGGCAGTAATGGTAGTGGTTTTTCATCAAAGGGTAAAACTTTGGATTCAAGTTCTTGGAGGGAGAGAGGGGCCTCAACTTGCTTGACGAATTTTCACAGAGATCTGATGGCAGGGGCAGTCATGGGGGGCGTTGTGCATACTATTGTTGCCCCAATAGAGAGGGCTAAGCTGTTGTTACAAACCCAGGAAAGCAATGTAGCGATCTTATCTGGGCCGCATAAGAGGTTTAAGGGCATGATTGATTGCATTGCGAGGACTGTTAGAGAAGAAGGGATTCTTTCCCTGTGGAGAGGTAATGGGAGCAGCGTCATCAGATATTACCCTTCTGTCGCTCTGAATTTCTCTCTTAAGGTAACCCACTTAGATATGTTAGCTGTACTTAGATATGTAAATTTCTCATGTGTCCATTTCGATTTTTGCTGTATGATGTTATATAAATGATTAAAAATGGTTTCTTTGCAGTTAGGGCGCTCTTACATTTTCAAATGAGCCATACTTACAGCATTTATAGTGTGAACTTTGGATTGTTGGATTTGCATTTCTCCATTATAGTGTACTGTTACATTTTATTGCATATTTGTTTCTTGGATTTGAAATGCCTTCTCAGATAATTAGTTCCAATATCATCCAGATTGTTGTATATCTGTGGCCCTTTAGTTGAACTTTCAAGAGATGATGATCTATCCTATGAAGTTTCTTTGTACGTTCTCTGAGATTCATTGTCTTGGTTACTGTTGAAATGGAAGGAGAAATAAGTCTAAGGTATTAGAATTTGATAATTATGCTGATGAAGACCAATCCGAGTTTATTACGATCCTCTAAGTGTCCCAAAAAGGTACTTTACAATAGACTTGATGCCTTTGCTTAGGTGCCGCTACTGATATGTTTGTATGCAAATGTTAGACTAAGTTTAAACAGGCAAATTTTCCCCTTTTATAGCTGTCTTTTGAACCAAGTGCACTGATGAGAAAAACTGCACGTTTTTTTTTTCCGGGATAAAAAGGTAATTTGAGCAGGTAGAAAGTGAAATTATTCGCACAATTATACGAAATCAATGCAACCATAGAAAGTTGATAGAATCTTGGCCAGTATCTTGCTAAATCAGTAAAGGAATAGAGATGTTTCCTTATTTGTCAAAGCGTTCTTGCTTGACTGATAATTTACCTTATCTTCTTGTATGTTTCTCATGTTGAGATTCAAACGCTGTATATACATGGGAACTTCTTGCAAATAGTTAAATTTTTACGATTTGCCTTTAGTAGTGCTATTGCAAAGTTTTCTCTTGCTTTGCTTATACAATCTAAAGTTTTGCATGAAGACAAAACTAGTTGGACGTCCGAGTTGCCTTTGTTGCTTCTATTCACATAGATATCCTGGTGAAATATTGATCTTATTTTTTGGATTTTCCCCTTAGTTACTACATAATCAAAAGTAATGCTATTGAATAAGTTGACATCTTGACATTTCGTCATCTGAGTATAGAAACTTGTAGTATTGTATTATCACCAGTTAACCACTCAGGAATTATGGCCTTAAGGAACTGCCTTTGTAGTATTGCATACTCTGCCATAAACTTTCTTGGCTGAGGATGTGTTCATTGGTTACCCTTTTAAATTTCAGCTGCTGGTTCTACTTCAGGGAACTGAATTGTCCATCTCCTACAACTTATGGAGACTAGTGCATTTTCTGACCATTCAAAGGTGATGCAAAATGATTTTCCCTGAAAGGAACTTGCTTGAGTTTACATGATTCACTAACCTGATAAACACCTAAGGTGATAAATAGTTCTCATAGTAAATCGTAACAATTCGAAATGTATAAACATAGAAAAAGGTGAAAATTTCATAGTCAGCTTAATCAAATAAAATAGTCGAACAAGGTAAACAGAAGGGGGAATATATTACAAGCTGTTTGGACCACAAATGCTGTTCATTGCTTATCGCTATAATTTAGCTAATTGTGCTGGGAGGAACTGAGCTCTGCAACTCCTTGAGATTCTGCAGTTTGTTCAGTCAGAAACTTGTGTAATCTTGTATAAAGTACCAAGGCTGACAAATCTGTTTGGCTGAAATTCAGAGTACTTTAGCCCTATTAACTTAGGAACCAACCCCACTCCCTGCTGTCTACTTTTTCCCAGCATAATCTCATGCCACATCTCGTCTCTGTATTTTGTTATGCAAAGCACTTACAAGTTGCCTCCTTTCTGATTTGCACTCATAGGTGTAGCTACTATTAACTTTATGATACCTTCTCGTAGTAGGATAACCTTAGTTGGCCGCATTTGCATGTAATGGCACATTGACTGCTAGTTATCTAGAAATAACTTCACTGACCGTTGATTGCAATGATGATTTTGATTACCAGAAAAAAAAAAAAAAAAAAGTTGTCGTAGTTCAAGTAATTAAGTTTTGTTGTCTTTTTACTGCAGAATGAATGTGTTAGGTCTTGTTTAATACAAGGCGTCGCAAGCAACATACTCTTCAAACACAATTTCAATTATTTTGCAATTTTAAGTCCATTTTCTTGATGAGACTTATACCACCATAATGTTGCCTGCTTGTGAAGGTATTGACTAGCTGCATATGTTGCATATGTTGGCAGGATCTTTATAGGAGCATCCTACGTAGTGAAGGTGGACAGTTTTTCTCTGGGCCATCTGCGAATTTTGTTGCTGGATCTGCAGCTGGCTGTACTACTTTAGTCATCATCTATCCCCTTGATATAGCACATACACGCCTTGCTGCTGATCTTGGAAGGACAGGGACTCGTCAGTTTAGAGGAATTAGTCACTTTCTTAGCACTATATATAAAAAAGAAGGGTTACAAGGGATTTATCGAGGATTACCTGCATCTTTGCATGGAATGATTGTGCACCGAGGCCTTTATTTCGGTGGGTTCGATACAGTAAAGGAGATGATGTCAGAAGAATCAAAGCCAGATGTTGCCTTGTGGAAGCGCTGGGTGGCTGCTCAAGCAGTCACAACATCAGCTGGGTTGATATCTTATCCATTGGATACAGTTAGGAGGCGGATGATGATGCAATCAGGTATGGAGCAGCCCATGTACAAAACTACATTGGATTGTTGGAGGAAGATTTACCGGACAGAAGGGTTCTCTTCATTTTATCGTGGAGCCTTGTCAAATATTTTCAGAAGTACTGGTGCTGCTGCTGTTCTGGTCTTATACGATGAGGTTAAGAAGTTCATGAATTGGACTGGCTTATAGCAGCATTAATGTTGTTTCAGGTTTATCGACTTCGGTGACAGTCAAAGATCACATTTTAGAATAGATGCAGCAGCAGTGATACACACATATGATAATCACATTGACATTGGTAGCTAGGCAGATTGAGAAGTTGATATACATTTCATCAGATCGGCTGGTTACAGTTTTGAGAGTTTTAGCACTCTGAATATGTTTACTTTGATGAATAAAGTGAAAACATGATAGTACAACATGATATTAACAACCACTTGGTTGTCTCCTCCTGTGTTTTTCTAGATATACTTCCTCCATTGCCATCTTAAAAGGAATATCATCCCCTGGAAACTCCTGTTAGAATCTCCTTGCAGTTTTTCTTCTGGTGGACATTTGCTATATCCTATCTGGTGTGCCTTGTTTCTGGGAACTGAACATCGTCATCTGGTTTCAGAGTCTCGGTAACAATACGAAGCTTTTCAAAACTGTGGAGAACTGTTTAATACTTAGGTTGCAGGAACTAAGACAGTGTATCCAAAATCGATAATCATGTGAGTTCCCATTAATCATACATAGTGAAGCTAGTTAGATTTAATTCCTTCTGTCCTGAAAAAATAAAAAAAATATAGTAAAAATCTAGGACTTAAATTGTTACAATGAACATGACTCTTTTCATTTCAAGAAGAAAAATAAGCTGAAACTAAAAGAAGACCAAATGACCTATACGACGCCTGCCGGACCCGACTTGACATCACTATTTTCTAAAAAGCCCTCCAATTTGAGCATGATTGGACCAAACCAATTTACTTAATTGACTAATGATGTACTATGATGAATTAAGATTAGCTAAGGTAGTCTGTCTTTGCACTAAGAGAGTTCACTTTTGTCCAAAATTCAACCCTTTAGTACTAGTAACAAGTAGATTATTACAAAGTCAAGAAACATAGGACAATGTTGAATGAAGGAAATTACAGACGACAAAAGGTTTTAAGCACTCAAGTCAATTTAACGATACATCCAGTAAAGGTTTCATAAATATATGACTGAAGTAATTATAAGTAGCAAAACATCAATCACTGACATGGTATAATAATGAATAAATTTCGAAATAATTGATTAATCGTGAATATTAAGTAACGATCAATATATCGTCTATGTATCATTACACTTCAGTCTTGTACTACTCCCTTTGGTGCTTAATATAAGACATTTTGATTTGTTTTGAATTAACTTAGTACGTAATTTTAATTGACAAAAAAATCTTAAACATATTTTTGTAACATTTAAGAGAATACGACGAACGTAAATGTATCTTGTTAAGGTTATTTCGTCAATTAAAAATACATATTAGGTGAAACATAAGACAAATCAAAATGACTTATATTAAGGAGCGGAGGGAGGGAGGGAGGGAGTACTTTGGTTGCGCAATTTATACATTTTAGAGGCCGTTTCGATATGGTTTATACATGCGTGCTATTTCAAATTACCAAAATGTAAAGAATTCTGACGTGATATCCCCTCTTTGATGGAAAGCACATAAAAAGGGGAAAATAAAGAAAAATTATAAAAGAGATGATTCCTCTTTCTAGTGACTTTGTGAGAGAAAAGGCCCTAGATAGCAATGATTAAAAAAACAAACAGGTAGAGCACAATTAGTAGTTAAAAAAACGCAACAAAGTTTTTTTTTTTTTTTTTGAAGAAGAAGAAGAAGAAGAAGAAGACGCCAACAAAGTTGAAATTGACAAAAGGGCCTTAGAGAAAAATTCACAACATACATGACATCACCTCTCTAGAAAAAGAAGTGGTTCAAAATTTAGCAAATATTAGCGATTAAAGTAAATAAATATCAAAATTAACTTTTTTCTATCTGATATATTACACATTTAGTATCCAATATCATTGATCTTACTCATTTAGATCGAGCGAGATGAATTATTTTCTAAAAGTAAAACTCTTCCTATAAGTATTTGTTCATTGGTGACTATAAAGGAACTTTACTTTTGATGAGATGAGAAGTGAATACTTTACTCTAAATATATACCAAATTTTGCCATGATCATCATGAGTGCTGTGGGGCTACAAGAATTTCACTTAATCAATCCCCATTTTTGTTCTAAATATTAATTATTATGTCCCATAATTTTTTTTTTTTAAGAAAATAGAAAGAAAGAAATACAACATTCATGGACTGTTCCCCCATTGAGTGAAATAGATTAATATAAGAGTTGAAAGTGGTGCGTGTGTGTGTGTGTGTGTATGGGGTTGTTCTTCTCTTTTGCTAGATTCAGTTAAGATTCTCCTCTCAGGTTAATGTGTTTTATTAAAAAGATTCTAAAAAGCGGGACCTACAGTATTTGTGTCCCAACCTATGGGTGGATGCCACATGTGATTCCCACTTTGGAGAAGAGATTCTTCGACAAACAGTTTTGGGGGATTGTAGGTTTGTGGCTTTGTGGGTGCAATTTGTAGGGTTCAATTAGCACTTACTTATCAGCAGCATTATTAGGGGGGGGATCTCATTTTCGCCTCTCTTCTTCTTCTGCCCTTGATGATGTAGTCATCATCATTCATCACCGAGTTGTCTATTCCAAATCCAAAGGAAAAGGAAGGAAGGGAACCATTGATAGATACCACCATTTCATTCATTCCAAAGAGTATAAAGATCAATTAAAACACTTTGCTCCCATTAATAATGGCCATTTCCTTATCTCTTTTGCATTTGCCCTTCTGTTTCCTTAAATGGTAAGGTCAAGTACTTAGTGGACTCGCCACTCGATTCAATATCATATACACCTAATATATTGCATGCTATGAAAGCAAAAGGCTTAGATGGTTTAATCGATTTGAATTATGTAGGCTGATTTTTCAAGTAAGTAGATGTTGATTTGTATTTTTTCTACGACCTTTTTACCATGGACTTTAAAGATTTTATTAATATCAGGAGGCTTGGGGTACTTGTTGTTCAAGCAAGAGACTTCCACATAAAATATTTTTCAATACGATAAATAATAAATTCTCGTTGTAACTAGTTAACGTTCAATCACACGTGAAAGATTTGTAAACACTCAACAATAAGATTAACCTCTCTATACAGAGTCTAAACTGTAACTCTCACCTTTTACTCTTTTTTTTTTTTTTTCCCTCCTTTTCAATGTCGCATGTCTTTTGAATATGCAACATATTTTTTAGAACTAGCCTTGGGTTTAAGCAAGAATACAACTTATTTACAAAATTGATATCTTTTAGTTTTAGGGATTGATGTCAGTTGCAGTTGTCATATTTTAATTCTGACGTGTTCCAGGTATTATAATACACAGAAGAAGCATACAAGATAACATCACATCACTCGTTGATCAATAAAGTTGTTGTGCTATATTCATTTAGATATATAGGAGTATATATATATATATATATATATATATATATATATATATATATATATATATATTTTTTTATCATCAACTTGTCCAAGATGCACTAATTCACGCATATCACGAGACAATATTGAAGCTCAATTGTAAAAGATATTTCAGATATTTTTTTATACATGTATTAGGTATACATACAGAGCTCCAAATTAGTGTTCTGATTAATTCAAATTCAGACCAGAAAAATTTCTTCACAAGATTAAATCTTGTCAACAACAAGTAACAAGTGTTTCTTTTTCTTTTCGTTTTTCTTTTTTTGGGGACTGAATACTAAGAGATGGAATATATGCCAAAAAGAAAAACATACGTATAATAAAACCAAGGTGTGGTTGGCAGGTTAAGGTATAAAATTTTTCAATTTTTGATCAAATCAAATCAAAAGAGCTAAATAGCTTTATGACTTTATCTCTATGTGATGATAGTGTGTGTGTGTGTGTGTGTGTTTTTTTTTTTTTTCCCCCAAAAACTTTAGAAATTGAAGTGCTTAGCTTCGAATCTTAACTACACTAATAATTCATCTGTCAATTTCGTACTTTTTCTTTTTTGGAAGGTCACGCAGTTCACTCACTCAGTATCAGTCACGTATTCCTTCCCAGATTCTTTTGATTATTTTTTTTTTTTTTATTGTTGCTTCGATTCCATGAACACCGTTAAGTTTACGTGTATTCATTTGTCTTCATTTTCCTCATTCATTTTGTTTGGTTGAGATGTACACATTTCAGTGGGCTGCAAGGTATTTTTTGTCTCTTTCTTTGTAAACACCAACGAAATTCAGTCAATTTCCCGTGGAAAATTGTAGTGTGTGTCTGTGTTTATTGTTTAATGCCATGATATTGGGAACTTCACTTACAGATGTAAGAAAATACTGCATTGTTACGTTTCAAAATAAGGGGATGGAACTACATCTTTCAACCTATAAACTATAGACGAGATCATCTGTCTCTTTTTTTTTTCATGTCTTCGAACTATGTATCACAACCAAAACAATAGACGAGATCATCAGTCACTATATATGTTAGGTGCGTAACGAACTGCATTTAAACGAAATATGAATTCCTTTTAAAACACAATACGAATGATTCTTGTTTTGAAACGGAGGTGAGAAGAAATATAAAAAAAATTACACAAAATGCATGTGAGATAGAAATTCATCTCTACCTCTAAAGCTGAGGAATAGAAAGTCTTGTCATCAATGACGAAGAAGGGAATCGGGAGAAAGAGAATAACTCAAAGTGGAAACAGGCATAGGACTAATTAGTGATTGTTAATCAAAAGGAACAAATAAATCTTTGGCACCAATTTGCATGGTTTCATCAAAGATTCAAAGCTTATGTTTTGTTGGAATCTGATCTGAAGATAAAAATTTTCCCAGTAAAAGATCCCTTTGGTCAAGCCTAGCAAATTGTGCTGTACAGCTGAGCAAAAACTAGTACATAAATTTAAACAAATTGGAGAAGAGAAAGTAGAGAAAGACATTAATATTCCTGCGTGTAGCCAAAGGAGAAGCATCAAAATTGTAAAGATTTTCGCTTCATGATCCAATAAAATCACTGATTCCTTATAGAATGGCAACTAGCAAAGCAGTCAAAAGAGGAATTTGTTTGTGTGCTGATGATGCAAAAAGAAATTGCCAACAATATATAATTTCCCAGCTTCCATTTAGGTAAAACCAAGAATATTCGTCCAAAATGGTTGGGATATTCATAACTCATTATTTTTGAGTTATCAAAATCAAACACCACACGACTCTTCCATTACGAATTCATCCTTCCAGTCCCTACCATTTCACTTCCACCGTCCCATTATAAGAACTCGAAACTCTTATTTTGAAACAGATAGATACGTTGTCACACAGCAAATGAAAACAACAAGGAGCGTTTAATTAATCTTGAAACTATCATTAATAATTATTAATAAGGAAAAGAGCTAGTAATTACAACATACAAATTTGATTCACTAATTAACACAAAATTAATTAGTAGTAGTAGATTACAATTGCCCCCTTCATTAATGATTATCAATCTAGTACCTAGCTAGTAGTACTACTACTTGGAAGATAATCGTGGGAAAAACTTATTTGTTTTTTTTTTCATTTACCCTAAATTTTCTCTTTTAGAGGGGGACAAGAAAGCTTCAGAAAAAGAAATGAGAAATAAAATTAACCCTTTACTCTTCTTCTTCCTCTTCTTCTTCGGGTAATTATGTTGGATTGTTTAATTATGTCCCCAGATAAAAAAGAAAAAAAAAATAGAGTAAATTTGATAAAAATAATTATTACAATACCATATCCCTAAGAGCACCGACTTCCATGAGTTTAGGCACAAGATGACCACTTAAGTGAAGTGCCACGAGGCTTTCCCACCCGCCAACGCGCGTTCCGCCAATGAACACCGCCGGCGCGCCGCCACCACCGGAACCACCGGAATCGTCGTCGCCGGAGGCGGCGGAGGGGAGCGCGTCGATCTCCTCCTCTTCTAACTCAATCACGGTGGGGTGGACCCCGATGGTGGCCAGCAAACGCTTCATGACGTGGCACATGCAACACGAGGAACGGCTGAAGATAATCACCGGATTCTCCGAGATCAGCCGCTGAATCCGCATCTCCGTTGACTCCGTCACGTCTATCGCCAGCGGGGAATTGGTGGTCGGAGTTAGCTCAAGCCTCACTCCGCCGTCGGACAACAACCCATATCGACGGACTCCTTGCATGACCTCCACCTTCGCCGCCGCCGCCACAAACCACCACAAAAGGGTATAGAACTTGATTCTTGAATCAATCAATGAAGAAGGGGTTTTTTTTTCTGTTTTTTTTTTAGAATAAAAACTCAAAGCTGGGTTTTTGCTGTATAACAACTTTTAAAGTGGGAATGAATGAGAAAAATAAAAAGAGTGGGGGAGAAGGGAAGGGATATATAAATCGGAGAGGAATAGTGTGACACACTGTGGCGCAATTTGGCATTCAATTTGTTTACATCACAAAGTTACATACTTACGTAACTCACTCTTGTACCATTTTTATGTAACCATTTGTGGAATTAATTCCTCTTTTATTTTTTTTTTCCAATTTTAATTCTTTCCATTTCTTTTTTATTGTTTTGGGGGAATATGAAGTCAAACGCGAGGTAGTAGAATGTGGAGCTACTTTCCTTACTAAAGGACAAAACTACAAGACTTGAATCTCTTTGGTGTGATGTGTGGTTTCTTGGCATTTTTTTTTTTTGGACTTTGGTGCAAGTTTCTTGGCATTTTTTAATTAGAGTTATGGGTTTCTGCAATTTGCCTCTTGAAGTTAGGTGTTTGTGTTTTTCTAATTAAGTACTATTACTGATAGGAAGTGACTAATTAGGAAAGACTACTCGTCTATTATTCATCTCATACTTTTATATCTTGCTCTACAATTATCTCGATCGAAAGTTTATTTATCTGTCTTTTATTCTTTGTATATACTTCTTGAAATGGTCGTATAAGAGTTAAGAATGATTTTCATTTAGTACTTGAAAAACTAATCAGGTCATAATACTTGGTGAGTCGTATTTGGATACATTTTGTAAGAAAAAATATATAACTCAATTATTAAATTAGCTTTTCTTTTCAATGTCCTCTTTCCACATCAATTGTGACTTGTGAGCTATTATGGGATGGTACTTTCCACATAAGAATAAACGGTGAGAAACTCTCCTCCAATAAAGTTGTAAGGAGTTACACATACTGCCTTTTTTGGGTGAGGGTAAAGAGTAAAATTAAAAGAGACAATATTAAAAAAGGTCAACGTGATACTATGGATGCGCACCTTGAAACAATCAATTCTGCTGGCAAAAACAACTGCAGATCCCAATTCAATTGAATAAAGCCTCTTTCTGTTTTGATGGATTCGAGAACTACACTTCGAAATCGAAGCCAAATGCATTGGGGTTATTATTGTTCGATACCGCACCCGGAAGGTATCCCGGATCCCAATTCTTGTCTCGTAGTAGTAATTCCTCAATCATATGCCGGAAAAATTATAAGGTCACCTTCAACAAACATATATATGTTAGATTAATTCTTATTTGATTTAGATGAACCCTTTTTGAACATAGAAATATATTTCTCAGCAAATATTTATTCATATCAGTATGAAATTCTAATTTTAGAGATTTGTTTAAGTTCTTATTCAGATCGACTCTTTTTACACTTTGAATATAACTTTTATTTTAAGTTTTAACGTGATTTTTTTAAAAAATAAAAATAGTAAACAAAAATATGATATATAATGCTCGTACAGACTGATCACTAGCTAGCTACTTGGTAGTTTCTTGAAAAAATTGGCAACAACATTGATGTAAAGTGGAACGTATCGAGAGTGTCAACTTCTTTGCATGGTAGATATAGAAAGCGACATATACTCTTCCTTTCGGTGGCTGTCAAAGTGACATTATTTGTTGTGACACGATTCCAAAACCATCAACACTAAAATAGAGGAGGAAACTTTGAATCACATATATGAAAGGCAAAGCAAACAAAATAAATGGACCAATTTTTTGAGCAACATGCTTGCCCTAACTGTGGCTAACCATATATCAACGAGTTCAGTTTAGGTCGGTCATAAATCTCAGATTTCATGGTCTAATTATAAGGTTCAAAAAAGAGGGGAAATAAGGACCAAGGTTACTTGCCACTTTTACCAAACAGGTTAAGCGACCTATCATGTTCGAATATAGATCATTTCATTTCTCTCTTTATAAGGTTATGATACACTTATGCGAGTGCTATTACTTGTTGAATAGAATAATTACTGTTATCGAAAGTGGACATTGTGCATTATAAAGGAGGAGAAAAAAATTCATAAATCAACGTCCTATAAGAGTCCAAAGTTGGAAAGAAAAAAGTCTTTGGTGATCATCAAATTCATCATCATAATCATGCATGTTTTGCTCATCAAGTTTCTCAAAACCTAGCCAATGCGGAGTTGCAAAGTGTAGTCTATAATCTATTAATACAAACAACAATCAAGGTTGTTAGATTCCAAATCCTGTTTACCATTAAGTGGGTTCACCGTTGACCAATAATACTCGCCCCCCAAATTCCAGGAACAGCTCATACAATATGGGGCGCGTGAATGTCAGCCGCCGGTGAGAGAGAGTATTTCCCCTGCCGTTCTTATAATTTCGGCTTTTATCACTACAATATGGGCCGATCACATGGAGTGATTGCTGGAAGGGATACTAAAATAAATGCCCACCCAGCCTACGCTGACGTCATCTTGACTCTAAATATGCTGATCTTTTTTTTTTTTGGGAGATTATTTTGCATTGTATGTAGTCGACAACAATTTGAATTATAAGTATCTCGATAGGTTGAATAATTCGCGAAACTTTTTATTTACATTATTTCATTTTCAAGATGATATTCAAATACTCGATTTCAATTAGAGGTAGACATTCTTTCACCTCGTAACGCTGATACTGTAAGAGCTGACGTGTACAGTTTATTACTAGTATTACTGTGGAATGTGGAGTGTCTCCCCGAAAGCTGAGGTGAGAAGCCCTGGTCCCCTCCCCTAGCTCAGGAGTGACGTAATCATCAGGGGAGCTGAGAGCTTGAACTTGCTTGAATCCTTGTCAGCAAGATGTCGTCGTTTCGACGCGTGGCGGTATTGTCTAAACTTTTCCTTGAGCCGTGGAGATTGGAAAGGGCCTCTCTATAAATTTCCGAAAATTTCTTGTTTGGCTTTGTTTGATCATTTGGTGTGGACCAGTGGGAAGCCACCACGTGGTTTGTCAGCTGGCTGCATGTATTTTTAAATTTTTTTAATCCAACATTTTTGCTTCCTTGGATTATTTATTTATTTATTATTAGATTTTTGATAAATGGAACTATAAAAGAGAAAAGATTAAAAGAATGGCTTTAATATTTTTGAGCTGCGAGTCGTGACTGAATGTGGTGGGGTGTGGGTACCTATATGTACGCCCCCACCAATTGGGATTTTCTTTTGGACGTCATTGCTGCGCAACAGAAAAAAAAAAAAAAAAAAAGAAGAAGTAAAACATAGCAAAAATAATAGCAACAAAAAAGAAAGAAAAGGTTTGAAGGTTAACCGTTGATGGTGGTAACCCTTGTGTGTGTGTCTGCCATGACCAAATTTTTATGAAGGGCTTGCATCATCAGCAGCCTGATAGGGGGAAGAGGGGGGTCGATTATGGACCCTCTTCATTAGTTGATTACTTTGTTCTTTTGTTATTGAATAATGATATCAAATATCAATGTGTAATACTGTGTGGCTCATGAAGTTGCAAATTATGCAAAATCTTGTACCGGAATCGGAATCGGAATCCTCTGGTCATCTCCTTTGAATTAGTCAGTGCTAGATGATTCTAGTATGATTTATAAAATTGAAAGTTGTACCTAAAAAAAAAAATTAATGTGTAAAAATTGATACATATAAGTTTATCATGTATTTGGTTAAAGTAGTAAAGATCTTAGATGTCTGGACGATTTACTTAACAATGATCAATATTCGAATTCCTTTATAAATTATTAACAATGATTAACATGCTATAAAAATTGTTTTTAGAAAAAGATATACTAAACTCCCATTTAGCTAGATTATTGGGGATTTTTTCTTGTCGAGAAACACAACAAAGAAAATAGATAAAAACATGGGTTAGGGAAACAAATATAAATAGTAGTACAACTAAATAAAGGGGCAATAATCTAACCATGAAACGGTTTTATTTTCCCATGGAATATAGGGTGGATACATAATTTGGATGAAATGCCAGGTTTTACATGGTTTAGAGTTCATTCCAATGAGAAAAAGATAGTTTAGCCTAAAGGTACTTTTTTTTTCCCTATATTGCAGGGTGTCCACCATCGGCAACAGTGACTAATCTCCTTCGCTTATGGTAGATACCTCGATGGGTGTGAGAGCTGATTAAAGGAGCCTAAAGATACTTTCTTTACTTAGTTATCGTCTGTTTCTGTTTTTTCAGAAAAGTCGGATAATTTTATTTAACACGCAGAGCGAGTAATGTATGATGATGATGATGATACATTCCTAAATGTGTGTTATAAATTCAACAGGGGATTTGTAACTTTTGTTGTCATCGATCAATTAAGCACCACAAGAGAGTATATTCTCCATTCGGACAAAAACATGATGATGGCAAATAGATTCAAATATTCAATTGGTAAGTACTACAACATCCAAGATACAGGGTTTTGCACTTTGCAATGGCCCCCCAAATGGAATCTTTTTCCCAACTTCCTCTCCCACTAAGCCATGCAATTACTTTTCTGTTGATGAAAATTTGGAGATTCAAGCGTGGTTTAATAGCAGTAAGTACTACTACTATTTATGAATTAATTGTGAAGCCCCTTTACCACTACATGGAGCGCTTTTTTTTTCTACCCAAAGCTTGAGTAAAGAGTTTGGGAACAATAATAGAGAGAAACAGTTACATTTAGTTGGCATAAATGCATTCTAAATACATATCATTTTATTAAGAGAACTACTACGTTTTATTAATATAAATATTTAAATTATTAACTGAACCGCCTGAACCATTTAGTTGACGAGACTATTTTTAATAAAAAAACTTTAGTCACATTCAATTCAGCAACAACGGTGTTTATAACCGTCAGTCCATCACATTAAATGTGCAGGAAGTGGAGACTTTCACAAGGGTTCTAACTTTTAGCTGGCAAGAAGTACACTGATTATGTAATTGAGTAGGCAATTTCCTCCCATTTATACACCTCTTCTTCCTCTAAGTAGCTTCTTCTATTTTTAATCAACTAACAATAAAACAAACCATTTTCAAAAAGGAAAGAAGTACAATATATACTATGATTTTACCACTCACATCTTCTTATTTTGTAGTTAGCTAGTAAGCTAGAGAGAAGATTCATTCGACTATCAATTCAACTTAACCCACTTCCTTCTTCTTTATTATTTTTTTTTAATAAATAGTGCAGGTAAAGTACAGGAAGAATTAATTAAATTCTAAAAATCAGCAATGATTAATCACAGCAATTATAATAATAAAATTTTGATATGATAGAGACTCAGTGCTATCTTACCATTGGTATGGTTTTC